CGACGGTCGATTCCAACGTACCAGAGCACGTGGCCGAGCTGCAAGGACTGCACAGCAGGAGGGAAACCGGGGCTATGTAACGGACGTCTCTCACAGCCCAGCAGCCTGGTCCTGCTTACGCATCCCCGGGCCGGGACAGGCACGCCTCGTCCTTGCTGGGACGCTCGCTGCGTGACAGGAGCGAGTTTATTAAACGTGGGTGCGCAAACGCACCCGGGCTGGGTGGGAGTGGGCGTGAATGGGTACGTACGCCTGAGCGAGCACTGACGGAATACACTTCCTAAAGACAGTTCCCTTGATTTGACTGACACTCGGCACCGTTTTAATGGCTCTGTTCTTCTCTCGAGCTGTCAAGTGCAGTTACGGTTGCACTGGTGAGAAAAGCTCCTGTAATACCTGCTTTTTAGAGAACCTCCCTTAAAACAAGTTAGTTACGCGTTGCAGCTAATTCAGCTTACAGACCCCCGAGGTCTAGTCTCAAAAAGAATATTTTGACAATTTCTATCTATCCTAACGCCCGCATTTTGTGATTATCCCTTTGTTAACCACGGTGTTGCCATCTACTGCCCAAAAGCCGTCAATGACCGTCACAAGGATCAATTCCAAACGTCCACGACCAGGGTTGCGTTCAACTTTGAAGGTTAGCTTAATACGAGTGAGAAAAGGCAACGTAAAAAGCCACAAAACCCAGCCCGATTACTTGGATTTCAGAAGGACTTGCAGAGAAAACGCAACGCTCAGTCAGGAGCCTTCTATAACCTGTTTCAGAAAAGATTCCCCATCCGTTGCTCCTCCTTCAGAACATGTCCCCGCTTTGTTTTTATTCTTTAACGTAGACATTGACTTTTGTTAGTCATGACATTACTTTGGATTGAGGGGAAGGAACTAGAAAAGACACAGATACTGGTTAAAACTTTCTCTGTTTATATCTTAGTATGTTTAGGGGAAATTGAGAAATTTTAGCTATTATTTGTACCCACACCACACAACCTTTAACTCTAGGTACTCTTTAAAGAGCATCTATTTCTGGTCAAATTTCAGCTTTTTTCCCGGAACTGGTTACAATGAGCCCTTTATTTTTCTTCTGGAGCAATATACTACAGATTTTGGATGGAGCAAAACTTTAGCCCATTTGGAAAGTAAATTGCACAATGTGGCAGCTGCATTAAATAACTCAGAACAACAAAACACATCACAGCCGTTCTCAAGTTATGGTGACTTGCTGAAACTTTCATCTACTGAGCTGCAACAGGTTGGTACTTTCCCACTTGCGGTATCAACATTTTTCGAAAAAAGAAGCCATCACTGTTTAACTAGTGAAACACTGGAAGAATTGCAAGCCAGATTTTTGGTCTACAGAGCCTTAAAACTTGTAATTCACATCTCCTTACCCTACCTAAGTAGCCCAAGTCTCCCCAGTTTTAAGGATCTATTGTGCCTACCCACTATACTTTGGGGATTAAACTATCCCTGAGTTTTAAATACAGGGGAGGGAAAAATATATAGATTTAGAACTAATTCTATTCGCAATGCTTTTCTGAGAGAATATTTTGTTTTCCCTGGCAGCAAAAAAAAACAAGCACTCCTTTGTTAGCCTTGCTTATAGCTCCTCCCCCATGTAAACAAGCCTCACATTTTTAGCCATTATAAGTCATCCTTATTACAGATTTCTTATGTGTCCTGCATATAATTCAACCCTCTTCTGAGAAGAAAGCAGCAACAATTCAAGCCACTATTTCTTTTCTTATCGAAAGAAACTTGCTGTTCCAGGTTGCAAGACAAACACAAATCAGGCTGCCATTTTCTTGTATCTAGTGTAACTGGCAGTAATCAGTTCACTTTAGTTTTTCTGAGATTCGGTATGTAAGAACAGCACAGGAAGCCTACAGTCACAGACCTGACTGCTCAGAGGCACGGAGAAACACGTAATTCAATAAGTTGTGTTCATCTCTTTGAATTATTACCAGTAGCTCAACACCATGGGGAAAAAAAAAAAATAATCTTCAAGATGAAGGAGGTTTGTGCTACTGTAGCGCTTACCAGAATCCACTAGTGTTCCAAAGAAAGTGCCTTTGCTCTTGGGAGAGTAGAAAATTACACACACCCACAACGTGGCTGGAAAATCCTACAGTAAACGGGCAAATTCTCGTACCTACAGATCTTGAGGGGGAACCGACAACCTTTGCAACTCCTTAGACAGTTTAGCAGTGAAGGCTGTCATGTTTTTCCACTACAACCAACCTTTCTCTCATTCTGCAGAGGCTGCCTGTCCTACCACACGTTCAGATCGAAGAAGGGGGTCTGGTATGCTTGATAAACTGAGAGAGGGAGTCCCAGTTATGGCTCTTTCACACCATACCGGCAACCTAAAATGGACAGAAAACACAAGCTAGAAAACCTTGCCCGTTTCGATAATTTTCAGGGTATTTACTTAGGAATAAATAGGTAACACAGTAGAATCGTCTTAACCCTTCCCTCCCGGCTGCTGAGGCAACCTGAAGCCCACCAGGCCGGCGACCTCCTCAGGCGAGCGCTCGCCCTTGCCGTGGTACTCCCGGTGGAGGGCCCGGTGCTCCCGGACGCTGCGGAGCAGGCAGAGGTAGGTGGCGGCCTGGAAGTGCAGCTC